ATCGAACCAGATGACGTCACTGCATGAACAGCTCCTGTTTAGTAGCTAAAACATAGGGCGCATGATAGGCGGACCTTTAAAACCATTGGCTGGCTGTCCCCGCCCCCTGCTGATTTTTCCTTTAAAAGAGCTTACTGTGGGACAATAAATGAGTTCCTGCTTGACTAGACTCCCTGCTGCGGTGTGTGATTGTCTCTGGGACCCTGCAGGCTGGCAGCACTCCTTCCCTTCCTCGACCCAGCTCAGCCTTCCCTGGTTGCAGCCACCCATGACTGCTGGCTTTGCCTTCAGGCAGCAGCCTGCCATGCATGCTTCCACACTGCATGTACCCATGGTCACTTTTACGATGTCTGGCTCCTCCCTGTGGGTTTCGGGCTTCCCCTGGGCCCCTCCCTGGGTTGCTGCCACGCTAGGTTAGCCACCACGACATGCTTTGGTTTCCGTTGTTGCAGCCTCCACGCATGCTCAGCTCGCAGCTACACTCAGCAGCTGCAGCTGCCCTCAGCCAGGCTGTGCACCAACTGTGTTGGTCTACAAATCGAGTTCCAGGAGAGGTTCCAAAGCTACACAGAGAAACCCTGTCTTGAAAAAACAAAAAAAAAAGGAGGGGGGAATATTATGATTCAGAGAGTTGGATTTCTGTGTAGTTTCACAATGGATGGTTTGAAAATGGAACTATTATTAAGTGAAGGGATAATCACTTAGCTAGGATTGACATAGTGTCAAGTACAATCATTTTCATTTTGGGAATTCTTGCTTTATCCCCCCAAAATTGTTTGATATCAGTGCCAAATATGAAAAATTGACTTATGAGATAAAATCCTTAGAAAGACAGAGTACTAGAACTAAGAAAAATATTCACACACAGACAGAGGAGTCTAGAGCAGAAGGTAACTCACCATTGCATTACGAAACCGAAGGGGAGTGGCCCAAGGTTATTAGAAAACCAATCTTAACTTATCCAGTTCCCATTCAAGGGTGGATGACCACCAGATGATAAGTGTTCCCAAGGCTATTCCAACGCTAACGAATCTTACAGAAGTGTTACATTTGAAGAGATTTAAGGACACAAGGGTTTCATATGGTATGCATACGTGACACAGATGTTAAACTCATGGGCCTCAGAACAGAATTATTCCACGGGCTGGAGGATTAGTTTCAGTAGTCCTCAGTTACAGTGGAGATCTGGTGGGGAGATGAAGCGAGGGTCATTGAACAGTGAGGTGGGCTAGATGGAGATTATGAGATTTTCCAAGATCAAGTCCTCGGTGAGGGCCTTTATGCTGATGAGGAAGCACAGAGTAGATTGGAGGACCACACTGTGGATGTATGCCGTAGAGCATCTTTGAATGCTCGGGACAAGATTGAGCATCAGGAGAGAAGACTGAGCCGTTTACTAAACTTATACAGGGCCCCAAAGAAGTCTTCACTGTTGTTTTGTTGTTGTTTTCACAAAGATTGACTTTGGCTGTAAATAGAATGATATGAGATCTAGAAGTTAGACGAATATCAATTGAATCTTTGGCTTTTGAAAATGCCAATTCAGAATGTAAAAGAGTGATCAGGCCTTTAAAGGCAAGATCAGCATGCATAGATGAATGGATTAGAAATACAGCTGATGTCGGATCTCACACTTATGACACTTGGATAGAAGTGACTTCTAAAATGTGTTATGAAGAAAAGCTATGGATAACTTCAAAACTGATAAAGATTAAACTCCAACAGGAGACCACTTGGTTAGAGAAGCAGATAGTTCATCAAACAGTGTGAACATTCAATCGAAACTAACTTATAAGACTAACAAATGCCTTTCATCTGATCAGATATAACCCACCAAAAAGGTTACAGATGGGGCATGGTTTTGTTTTTGTCTTTCCAGGAGATTGAAGGCATTCAAGTAAGGAATCTAAAGACCACTGGACAAATGAGACATCTGAAGATAAAGGATGAATCATTCAGAGAAAGTGTCCCAAGAAAAAGAGTAAATTGGCCTAATGGTATAGTACATTTCCAACAGAATAAATTTTTTTTTGGTTTTTCAAGACAGGGTTTCTCTGTGGCTTTGGAGGCTGTCCTGGAACTCGCTTGGTAGTTCAGGCTGGTCTCGAACTCACAGAGATCCGCCTGCCTCTGCCTCCCGAGTGCTGGGATTAAAGGCGTGCGCCACCAACACCCGGCGCCCAACAGAATAAAATTTTATATATCTTCCAAAATGTTTGTTTCTGCTGTTCTCTACAGACATATAAGGCAGATGAACGGTCTTTTTGTAGTCCAAGTTCAATTAAAAATTAAAACTGACTTTGGAGTTGGAATGTAGTTCTCTCCTTCTCTAAACCCAAGCATGCTTGTTAAAGTAAAATCTAAAATCACTGCTTCATGTCAGAAGAGCCACCTAATATGGGACAGAAGAGAAACCAAAATTAAGGGAACAATACTACTGCCAATACTCTCATCATCTTTTGTTTTTATCTTGACCCTTTAAAACTTTTCTTAAGGTACAAATATTATTTCAAAATTTACACACACACACACATAAATTGTATGTCATATTAATGGTCATATAAAGTACTAACTAATTCTAGAAAAAGACTTAATCTAGCTTCCTATACATGATTTTGGGCTTGAGTTTGATCAGGTAACTAGGAATTTGTGCACTTCAGATGCACTTAACAAATTGTGGTCCTTTAACCTCTTACAGATTTGCTGCATATGCCATTTAAAATGTTTAAATTTTCTGAACTGTGAACATGCCTAACAGCAACCTTTGAAGTCTCCAATAGGATGATGGGGCACCACAATTCCACCTGGATTGTGGTCATGCCACTAAGATGACAAACACCACCCAAAGAGCAGCTTTGGACTACACACTGCTCAGGACAATTTCAAGATGTTAGCCGAGATGGTCCAGCCTCATGCACTACTCTAGACAGTACTTCAGAATAAGGTCTACACTTCCCATAACACAGAGACTGGCAACAAAAGATACAGCTACCTCTCCCAGGACATTTTCTCAGAGTCCCCTAGAAATGCCATCACCCTCACAAGACAACAGTATGCCCACATTCCCAAGAGGTGGGAGTTGTAAAATGTCAAAAGAGAGCCCTTGGTGGTTTGGAGCCAAGGGGCCTCCGCAGCAGGTGAGAGAGAAAGACACACCATACAGACAGCATTCATGCGGAGGGGAAGGGAGAGAGGGGAGAGAGAAAAGAAGCATAGAGCGACCTCATAGGAAAAGAGAGGTACAGAGATGCAGAGAGACAGAAAGAGAGCCAGAGGGGGTGGGGAGGAGAGAGATGAGCAACATAGCTGAAGAGGTTGTCAGGACCCTGAGCAGCTCAGAGTACTGGCTGAGTACTGACAAGCACGTCCTACCAGGTGACAGGAGCTGGGGGAGCTTTGTCCAAATTGGACAAAGAAGACACAAAACAAAGTGACTGCTGAACTTTGCCAAGACAAGGCAGGAAAGTCCTTCAAAATTCCTGCTTCACAGAAAAGCCTGTCAGATAGTCTAGGCCTGTAGGCCAAAGATGGATGCCCCAGCGATACAGAGGAACCTTGGGTGACTGCCCAGTCAGCTGCCCGTCATTTCTTAGTTTAGGAAGTTGTTTGCTCTGCACTTCCTGTTTACTCAGGTAATAGTATATCCTTCTTAAGTCTCTAATGGAGTTGAAGACTCCATTGTTATCAAATTCAGAAAAGAAACTCACAAAAGTAGTGTAAAGTATATAAGGTTGAGAGACATAAAAGGATTGTTTTGCTTAATAATACAAGTTAGGATAGAAAGTGAATTAGGAACCAGGCATTGGAGGTACAGGCTTTAATCCCAGCACTCAGAGGGCGGATCTCTGTGAGTCTGAGGCCAGCCTGGTCTACAGAGCAAGTTCCAGGACAGGCTCCAAAGTTACACAGAGAAACCATGTCTCGAGAAAAAAAGTGAATTAGATACAAGAAAGGATAGACAATGGAGTATTTTCTCTGAATTTGCCAAATGCACATGGACTGGACATTGAGAATGTAATTCTTACCTATTGATATTCTTATTGCACATAGTTTTATTATGTTTGTTAAAATCTTCCCTTTTGCTGGGCAGTGGTGGCACACGCCTTTAATCCCAGCACTCGGGAGGCAGAGGCAGGCGGATCTCTGTGAGTTCGAGGCCGGGCTGGACCGACAGCCTCCAAAACAATACAGAGAAACCCTGTCTGGTAAAACCAAAAAAAAAAAAACCTTCCCTTTTATTTAGACAAAAAGGGGGAAATGTGTGATATTTTGATGGAATTCTGACAACTAAGTTTGCTCTGAGTCAGAGGGTGGAGCTAGCCACTAGTTGGCCAAAATTAACTATAGAGGTTTTGGAGGACTGAGGACAGATTGGAGACAGGAAGTAGTAAGGCAGGGCTTCTCCACCTCTTCTCTGATCATTCAGGCTCTTTTTTTTTTTTGTTTTGTTTTTTTGTTTTTTTGTTTTTCGAGACAGGGTTTCTCTGTGGCTTTGGAGGTTGTCCTGGAACTCGCTCTGTAGACCAGACTGGCCTCGAACTCACAGAGATCCGCCTGCCTCTGCCTCCCGAGTGCTGGGATTAAAGGCGTGCGCCACCAACGCCCGGCTTCAGGCTCTTATCTTGATATCTGGTTTTTGTTGATAAAGAATACTTAGATGACCGCTTCTGCAGGGTGTGGGTGAGCTTAGGTGACCGCTTCTGCAGGGTGTGGGTGAGCTTAGGTGACCGCTTCTGCAGGGTGTGGGTGAGCTGAGGGCTGCTGGGTCTTTTGTCTTTTTTAGTCATCAGTGCCGTTATCTGAAGCTAGGACTTGACGCCAGCCCCTCTTTCCAAATGTCCCTCTGACAGTTTCTTCTGCACACTTCCCCGGTTGTGTCACAGCCTGCGAATCCAGATGTAACATTTTACTGTCACACACAAAGATCTTTCCCATCTCCACCCCAATTCTCATTTTCTAAAATTTGAGCCATAGAACAGGAAAAAAAAAGTAAATCTGAATAAAGGCATGAAAATTTATTTCCTCCAGAGAATCTTCTCTCTTACAATGAAAGGCAAGATACAGAGGACACAGAGGCTGGGGTTCGGCTCAGTGACAGCTTGCAGAGGTGTGTGAGGTCACGAGTTCAGTCTCTGGCACCGGGGGTGGGGGTGGGGGCCGTAGCCTCGCCGTTCCCTTAATTGAAGCAGCGGGCTTTGGGCGTGCAGACTCCGGTACTGTTTTATGTTCGGTCTTCCCTGGCTCACAGACTGAGCAAGTAAAAGAGCTGGAACAACAGTGCAGTCTTTCAAATCCTCTCAAGCCCTTCTGGGATTTAGCTGTTGCAAAAAAACACCACCTCTGCTTGCCTGTGAGTACACTGAGGAAGACCTTTGCTCCCACTGTCCTCATCCCTTCAGAGCTTAAAAACAAAAAAACAGAACCCTAACTTGGGCTGAGGACAAGCCTCCATGGTAGAGCACTTGCCTGCCACGTATGAGGCCCTGGGTTTGATCCCCAGCAACAGCGACAACTACTAAACAGTCAACTCTAATTACCGCAAATAGAAGTGTACAACTCTAACTGCCACATATAAAAGTGTGCAACTCTAAGTGCCACATATAAAAGTGTACAACTCTAACTGCCACATATAAAAGTGTACAACTCTAACTGCCACATATAAAAGTGTGCAACTCTAACTGCCACATATAAAAGTGTACAACTCTAACTGCCACATATAAAAGTGTGCAACTCTAACTGCCACATATAAAAGTGTGCCTATAGGGCTGGAGGGGTGGCTCACAGGCTGTCATCCAGCAGACCCAAGTTTGGGTCTCAGCACTCACATGGCCGTTCATCAGTCTGTAACTCCAGTTCCAGGGAATGTGACACCCTCTTCCGGCCTCCACAGGAACTAGGCATTCGTGTTGTGCAAAGACATGGGTGCAGGCAGACACTTGAAATAATAAGATTTAAAAAGGAATACACCTGCACACAAATTCAAAACCATCATGCTATGCTATTTTTCTGTGAGGGCAGAAGGAACTCAAATGTGAGTTGAGATTTGTGAATAGTTTGGATACTAAGATAAATGACCCCAGGCACATTTGGCAGTTCCCGTAAACGCAACACCCACAGGCCATGTGCCAGAAGCTATTTGCTCCTACAGCCTTGGAGAAAATGGCCCACATCCAAACGAACCGGCACCCCTCCCTCGGCTTTCACCGTTAGCATCTCATCAACCAACTCTGCTCCTTAGAGCTGCTCTTGTGTCAGCCTCCAAAGCAGCTGGGACAAGCGTGCTACAGGCTGCTTTCTCCTGGTTCATTTCTGGTTGTCTGGCAATGGGGACTTCTCAGGGCGCCTCTGCCTTAGGAGGCTGCCCTGGAGCTGGCTGGCCGCCTCCTTTTGCAGCGGATGCCTGGCCTGCCCTTCAGCAGTGCCCGGGAGGGGTCTCACAGCGGACTGGGCTAAGCAGCCAGGGAAGCACAGGCCTGCCTTTCCACCCACTCTCGAACCATGTGGTGGGCAATAGCCAACTTGGGAGGCAACAGCAACGGGAGAGCACCACTCTGCTGCTGAGGAAACGAGCCCTTTCTCCTCAGGGCTGTGGCCACCTCATCAAGACTGAACCAGGCAGCGGCTTCTAGTTCTCGCTGGTTCACCTGGATCTGAAAGACAAGGAGGGGGGAGGCAAAATTAGGAACTATAAAATTTAAAATACTAGGCCTAAAGTGAGAAAACTCATACAAAACTATGTATTCTTAAATGATAACACCTGGCACTGATGGGCTAGGTTAAAATCAGCTCTCCATATTGTCCGGAAAAACAATAGAGAATTAAGCGTATTTTTACACAATTCTTTTAAAAAAGATAAATTTAAAAATATCCTATTCACACAAGGCTAATAGCATTTGTTTAGCCTGGTTTCAGTCCCCAGGGTACATACACATAAAATCCCCAAGTACAGATACTAAAATACTGAGCGGTGAGTTATAATTAATTGTGTAACTCTTTCAATTAAAGAGCAGCTGCAGGGTCAGCACGATGGCTCAGCAGGTAAAGGCGTTTGCAGCCAAGCCTGGCGACCTGAGCTTGGTCCTATGACTCACACGATGAAAGGAGAGAATGGGCTCCCACAGCCTTCCTCCGATTCCCACATCTACACAGACGAGCACATCTGTACAAATGCTGCCCTCTCTAAAGGTCACTGATGACAAAAGCAAGAAGCACAGTAAACAGACTGTCCCAGGAGTGGAGGCAGACTAAGGAGCCCATAAAAACCAGAGGTCAGATAGGCTAGCTGGTAGGCAGGGCCCTGGGTGACCTCCATCTGTCAGACCTGCCACAGATAAGCAAGGTGGATTTAGGGTAGTCACAGAAGTCCCTTTCAACCAGGAGCTCCTATAGATTTATGTCATTAGTCCCCTCCCCAACATCCTGAATTCCAGGAGCAATAAGATCAATGCCCAAATTGTTAAATGAGGTGTGTATTCTGTCTCTATAAAAGGTACCATTAAGTTAGGCAGTGGTGATGAACGCCTTTGATCCCGGCACTTGGGAGGCAGAGGCAGGCAGATCTCTGTGAGTTCCAGGCCAGCCTGGTCTACAGAGCAAGTTCCAGAGCTGTTACACAGAGAAACCCTGTCTCAGAAGAAAAATATAGTTTCTATACAGCAAAGGAAACACAAAAATGAAAAAGCACCCTGTGGGATGTGAGAGAATGTTTGTAGAACAAGTATCTCAAAAAGATTAATATCCAAACTATGTAAGGATCCCTTGCAGCTCAACAGCACAGACATGTGTTGGAGTTCAGTGGCAGTATGCACCTTTGAGGTCCCACATTCATTCCCTAGCACTGGAAAAAAAGAAAAAAGGCAAAACACTCTCAAATAGATGGTCCTTAAAAGTCCTTAAAAGAAGAAATACACTGGTCAACACATATGTGAAAAATACAGTGTCACTCATCAGAGAGATGCAGAGCAAAGCCACAGGCGAGGTCACTGCACACCTCCTAAGATGGTGTGGAGGTCTGCATGAGAATGTCCCCATAGGCTCGTGAGTTTGAAAGCTTGGTCCCCAGCTGGTGGAACTGTTTGGGAAGGTTTAGGAGGTGTGACCTCAGTAGAGGAAGTTTCACTGATGTTTCAAAAGCCCATGCCATTCCTACTTAACACTCTCTCTCTCTCTCTCTCTCTCTCTCTCTCTCTCTCTCTCTCTCTCTCTCTCTCTCTCTCTCTCTCTCTCCCTCCCTCCCTCCCTCCCTCCCTCCCTCCCTCCCTCCCTCTCTCTCTCTCTCTCTCTCTCTCTCTCCCTCCCTCCAGCTCGTGGATCAGATGTAATTCCTCAGCTACTTCTCTGGCATGATGCCTGCTGCCCTGCTTTCTCCCATGATGGTCACGGACTCAGCCTCTGGAACTTTTTTTTTAAGATTTATTAATTTATTTATTACTTATACAGTGTTCTGCCTACATACCAGAAGAGGGCACCAGATTGAATTGTAGATGGTTGTGAGCCACCATGTGGTTGCTGGGAATTGAACTCAGGAAGAGCAGGCAGTGCTCTTAACCTCTGAGCCATCTCTCCAGCCCCAGCCTCTGGAACTCTTAAGCAAGACCCCAGCTGAATTCTTTACTTTACAAGTTGCCTTGGTATTTCTTAGCAAGAGGAAAGTGGGTAAGTCAGATGGTTACTATTAGAAAAACACAGAAGCTTGGCATGATGGCACACAACTGTAATCCCAGCACCTGGGAAGTTGAAACAGGAAGACTCTAAGTTTGAGGTGAGCCAGAGTGACAGTAAATTGAAGGTCAGCCTGGGCTACATATAGTAAGACCCTGCCTCAAAAATGAACAAATGAACAACAAACGTTAGCAGGGATATGGAAATGGAGGGAGGAGGACTATAAACTAGTGGCAGATATGGAGGACCACTATAAACTACCGGCAGAAATGGAGGACCATTATAAACTACTGGCAGAAATGGAGGACCACTATAAACTACCGGCAGAAATGTAAATTGGTGCAACCACTATTGAAAATTATGGAAATTCTATAAAAAAAATAAAAAGGTGGTTATGGCCTTTTATCCCAGCATCGGGGAGGCAGAGACATACTCTCTGTGTGTATGAGGCCAGCCTGGTCTTCATAGCAAATTCTAGGCCAGTCAGAGATACACAGCGAAATCCTATCTCAAAATAAAAATTTAAAAAGTAGGACTGTCACTGGATCCAGCAATCCCATCTGACTGTATGTCCAAGTGAACGGAAATCAGGGGCTCAAAACAGGGACGTAGCTACCGTGACCTGACTCACAACATGTGTGATGCGAAGCAGTCTACATGTCTGTCACTACAGAAAGGGTGACAAATACATATCAAGAACTAGTACCGAGGGATTTTAATTTTTTTTTGAGAGAGTCTAATGCAGTCCTACATTGCCTTCGACTTGCTATGCCAACCAAAGCTGGCCTTGAACTCTTGGATCTCCCTTACTCTGCTTCCCAAGCACTGAGGTAACAGGCACTTGTCACCCTGGCTGGCAGTCTGAGTGCTTTAAGCGAAGGAAACCCTACACTTTTAATAAGATGATGGGCCTGGAAGACATGCATGGTCCCAGCTGCATGGAGATGGTCAAATGTGCAGAAGCAAAGCGTAGAGTTGTTCCAATGCCTGGAGGGAGGGGGCACGGGGGAGCAGTGGCCAGAAGATAAAGTTACACTTATACATAGGAAGTTCTGGAGGCCTGTCAACACCTACGGTTAGCAATATTCTGCTGACTACATTAAAATAAGGTTTATATTAATTGCTCTTAGCACCGAGGAAAAGCAAGGGGACAGAAAATGAGGGGTGAGTTTATGTATGACACCTATAATGATGTCTGATTGATGGCTCCTGATGCATGCTTATCTCCAAACGCAGCAAGTTAGATGCATTAGAAGTCCACAACATCTGGAGACATGTCTTCTAAAAATCAAACAGGGGCTCATGTAGTCTAGGCTAGCCTCAAACTTCTGACCGTCCTGCTTCCACCTCCAAGTGTTGGGATCATAAGCGGGTACTGCCAGTCTGGGTTTATATGGTGCTGAGGACTGAACCCCGACTCACACAGTCCTAAGGCACACAGTCTACCAACCGAGTCACACCTCCAGTGTAGACTCTGTTAATTATACTTCAACAAAGCAGCTCAGAGGAAGTTGTTTTACAAGCAAGGGGGAATGATGATTATTTGCTCCTATTCTCAAGTGCAAATTCCTTCAGGGCACTGATTATCTTCTGCATCGACCTATGACCCAGACAGTATTCCTTAAGACACATGCTCAGAAAGGCTGTCTGGCTGCTGAAGGGAAAGTTAGGAATTTACCTCTGTGTGTCCTGGCTTCACCGCTGCATGACAAGCAATCATGAGCGAGCTGTTGGGGAAGGGCCAGTGCTGGGATGAGGAGTAATGGAGGGTTCCCACCTCCAGGCCCACCTCTTCTGCAACTTCTCTCCGCACGGCGTCTTCCACACTCTCACCTGAAAGCACTCAGATTCATTCCGGCAGCCCTGGAGCAGGACAGCTGTGTGCTGTCTACTGCGGGAAAGGATCTCAATGTGTGCTCCTGCCCGAGTTCTGAGTCGCAGTTCCCAGCACCAGGGATCAGCCCCGAGTACAGTGCGTGCTCGTCCAGTGGGCTGGTTATAGTGCAGCAATGGGAGAGGCCACTGCTGCCCTCAGCTGGAAGGCACTGAGTTTCTCACCATCCTGAGACTTTACCCACTAAACTAGAAGAGACAACGGCATAAGGAAACGTAAGTAAGCATGGGATTCTAGTTAGCGGCGCTGTGTGCTGCAAGATTCCGGGAGAAGTACGCTAACATCTGTAACTTGTTCATGAGAAATAAGCTGGGCTGGTGGCCGGGCAGACGGACGGGGAGCTGCGTGTGTGAGAAGAGGGTAATAACAACGATGGAAACCAGGCGGTGTGTGGATCACTGTATCATTCCTCAGCTGTGCTGCATGTTCCAAATGGTGCCTCCTATTGTGTAGGGAAAGTGTGTATGATTCCAGGACAGTCTCCTTGACATGAGGATGAATATTTGTGACTAGAAGCATGACGGCAACAGGACAGATTGTTTTCCTTTTCACGCTCACCTGCTGCTCCTCCCCTAAACTCCTTACCTATATCACAGAAGCCTGCCAGGGCAGAATACAGTCCCTTGGGAAAAGAGCTCTGGCGGGCAAGCAGGCACCGGGCCCCATCTGTCACCAGTGTGATCACCACAGGGGCCATCTAGGAAAGGACAATAGAAATTGAGATGCTGGCATTTGGAAGCATAGAAGGCAAAAGGAACGTGCAATCATGGAAGCCTTCTCAGCACACAGGGCTCCCTTCCCGGTGACAGTGGAGGCTCCCTTCCCCGTGACAGTGGCGGCAGCCTTCTTAGAATACTGCTTCCATTTTCTTTTCTACTCTTTTCAATTTACATAGCAAGTTCTAGGATCGCCAGGGCTACACAGAGAGACCGTTTTTCAGAAAACAAAGAGAAATATTTTTGAGATGAAATTTATTCATTTATTTTTTTTGAGACAGGGTCTCTCTACATAGCCCTCAGTGTCCTGGAACTCGCTGTGGAGACCAGGTTGGGCTCAGACTCACAGAGATCTGCCCACTTCTGCCTCCCAAGTACTGACCACAACGCTTGGCTGTTTACTTTTATTTTATCTGTAAGAATGTTTTGCCTGTATGTGCCCCCGGTGCCCAAGGAAGCCAGAAGAGGGTGTTGGGTCCCCTGGGGGCTGGGTTACAGAGGTTTGCGAGCTGCCATGCAGGTGCTGGAATCAAACCTTACTCTTCTGGAAGAGCAGCCAGCACTCGTAACTGCTGAGCCATCTCCCCAGAACCTCAGGTAGCCCGGGCTGCCTTTACCTTTAAGTACTGGAATTAGAGGTGTGTCGCGCCCCATGGTCCCCACCTGTGGATAGTAGGTGAGGTTATTGGAAGGACACACTCGCTTGCTGCCAGCCATGTTCTTCTTAGTGGGCTGCCCACTTCTACTGCAAAACTGGTGACCATCATGCCATCGGAGAAGCGCCTGAGCCTAGAGACACAAGGGAGGGTCTGGCTTTAGAAAGGTGTCTAGACCAATTCATGGGGGAATCTTTTTCTAGCTCACTCATTTCAAGAAAGTTGTTGGGACGGGAGAGATGGCTCAGAGGTTAAGAGCACTGAGTGCTCTTCCAGGGGTCCTGAGTTCAAGTCCCAGGAACCACATGGTGGCTCACAACCATCTACAATTCAATCTGGTGCCCTCTTCTGGCATGTAGGCAGAACACTGTATATGTGATAAATAAATAAATCTTAAAAAAGAGAAAGAAAGAAAAAGAAAGGAAGAAAGAAAGAAAGAAAGAAAGCTGTTTAGCTGGGTGATGGGGGCACATGCCTTTAATTCCAGCACTTGGGAGGCAGAGGCAGGCAGATCTCTGTGAGTTCGAGGCTAGCCTGGTCTATAGAGAGAGTTTCAGGACAGCCTCCAAAACAACACAGAGAAACCCTGTCTCGAAACCTCCCACCCCCCAAAAAAGCTGTTTAATTGTATTATTAATAGTGTGTGTGTCGGGGAGGACACATGTGTCATGGTGCATGAATGGGTAAGAGGAGAACTTGGTGGGGTTGGTTTACAGGGGTCATTCCGGGTCGCAGGCTTATATGACAAGTACCTTTACCTGATGAACCATCTCACTGGTCCTAGATCACTTATTCTAAGTGGCTTTAAACTATAAAATAAAGAAATGACCTAAATATATTTTCCTAGCATCAAAAATCTAAAAGCATATTGTATGTACTTTAAAATTTCTTTTGCAGTGCTGGGAATCTACAGCCTCACATACACTAGGAAGTAATCTTCTGTTGCACTATATCCCCAGCCTAAAAGGTATTTCGAAATGCACTATGAATTGCTTAAAACATAAAAATATACAGAATATAATACAACCATAAAATGTGACCTAGTTTAAAAAGAAAACATTTTAGCCGGGCGGTGGTGGCGCACGCCTTTAATCCCAGCACTCGGGAGGTAGAGGCAGGCAGATCTCTGTGAGTTCGAGGCCGGGCTGGACCGATAGCCTCCAAAACAATACAGAGAAACCCTGTCTCGTAAAAACCAAAAAAATAAAAAAATAAAAAGAAAACATTTTAATTTCCATTATAGTTAAACATTTCTTTCATACTTATTCCTCCTCAATGAAGTTATGGTTTGTTTTTTTTTAAAGTGTGTGTGTGTGTGTGTGTGTGTGTGTGTGTGTGTGTGTGTGTGTGTAAATGTAGGTCAGAGGACAACTTCTTGCCTTCCACCTTGAAGAGGGTCTCTTTGGCTTGGCTGTGCAGTGTACTCCAGGCCAGCGGCCCCTGAACTTCCAGCCATTCTCAGCTTCTGCCAGAGATTTTGACGTAGGAGTACTGGAATTCCAGTGGCATCTGGCTTTTTCATGGGTTCCCAGGATGCAACTCGGGTCAGGTTTGTGCAGTGGGTGTTTTCACCCACTGTTTCTATACCTCAAGTTGTGATTGTCCTTTTCCATATAAAAAAGGCTCAGGGGTTTCTCTTTAATTTAGAACAGCCAATAAAGCACCACAGCAGACAGGTTGGTGCCTGTGTAGACGCCTGTAATCCCAGCACTGGGGGAATAGAGACCAGAGGACCAGGAGTTCAAGGCCATCCTCAGCCAAATAGTAAGCTGAAGGCCAGCTTGGGCTACCTGAGACCCTGTCTTTAAAATTAAAGCAACAACAAGAATAACAAGCCATTAATGGCTGGGATGATGAGAGCTGTGGTCAACTTGCCAGGATTTAGAATCCCATGGAAACAAATCTCTGGGCATGCCTGGAAAGATTATCCAGATAGGTTTACTGAGGTGAGAAGACACACCCTAATTGTGTCTAGCACCATTTCGTGGGCTGGGGTCCTGGATGGAATAAAAAGGAGAAGCCAGGCTGATCCTTTAACACTCTTGGCCTCCTGCCTGTGGATATAATGTGACGTCTTCACCATGATGGACTGTACCCTGGAACTGTGAGCCATATAGACCTTTCTCTCCTGAGTTGTTTCGTCAGGGTCTGCACACCCTGGAACTGTGAGCCGTATAGACCTTTCTCTCCTGAGTTGTTTTGTCAGGGTCTGCTATCACAGCAGCAGGGAAGGTAATTCGTATGTCTAATGTGTAGGCAACTCTGAGTTCAACCCTAGTACCACATAAAGCAGGCATGCAAGGGCATACTTATTATCCTGGTAATTCAGAAATAGAGGCAGAAGGATCACAAGTGTAAGGTCATCTTTAGCTACATAGTGAGTTTAAGATGATGTTTCAAAAAATAAAAATTAAAAAGCCAACAAAAGAAATTAACAAGTGAAATCTAAAGCTGTGAGAACAAGTTATTAAAGCACAGAGTTAAAAAGTATTTATGACGTTGGGCTGGAGAGATGGCCCAGTGGTTAAGAATACATACTGCTCCAGCAGAGGACCAGTGTTCAGTTCCCAGCACCAAGACCTCTAACTGGCCGTTCACATAACTCAGCTCCAGGGGAGCTGGTGCCCTCTTCTGGCCTCTGCAGAGACCTACACTCAGGCATACATGCACATTCAGTTAAAAATAAAAATTTTAAAAAGCATTTATGAAAAAAATCTGGGGGAAGGTGGAGGGACAAGGGAGGAGGGGTGGAAGAGGGAGCTGGGATTGATATTTGAAGCTTGCATGTTTCTAATTTAAATAAAAACATATTTAAAGAATAAAAGGTAGCCGGGAGGTGGTGGAGCACGCCTTTAATCCCAGCACTTGGGAGGCAGAGGCAGGCGGATCTCTGTGAGTTTGAGGCTGGGCTGGACCGATAGTCTCCAGAACAATACAGAGAAACCCTGTCTCGTAAAAACCAAAAAAATAAATAAATAAAAGGTAGACAGGTTTCAGCTATAGCTTCTCAATAAAGGAACATGCTTTGCAAAAGAAATCTGTAAAAACATGTATATTAATAAATAGTAACTAAAATGCATTAACATATATAGATCCCAGCGTCGTATGCACATGTGTATCTGCCTGTTCACACAACTTTGCTCTACTTCCTACGGAGCTGAGAAACCAGAGCTACCGTGAACAGCAGGGAGGAATCCACGGAGGTCAGCTGAAAAAGAGCCTGCCTCAGCTTGACGAAAGAGCCTCCGAGCTCCGCTTCCACTTCAGATTTCGGCAGAGAGGCTAGGAAATTAGAAAAGAGGACACCATTAAACATGCCCAGCTTTGCCTGAAGCCCATCCCGTCAGGGCTCTGCTTCCCAAACTTGCCTACAAGACTCATCTAGGGATCTGGGAAATTACAGGTTTTCAAGCTTCTATCTGGAGGGGGGGAGAGGGGAGAGGGGAGAAGGGAGAGGGGGAGGGGGAGAGGGGACAGAGAGAGAGAGAGAGAGAGAGAGAGAGAGAGAGAGAGAGAGAGAGAGAGAGAGGGAGGGAGAACACGACATGTATGCATGCTCATACACACGGTTGTATGTTACCAGGGAATAGCTGCTCTGGGTTCCTAAACATGAATTTTGGAAGAATAAAGAAAATTAAACAGCTACCAAGTGATTCTTAGTTTTTTTGGAAAATGGTAGCACACAGTATTTCACAGTATTTCACAAGATCTGCTTTAGAGCAGTTGGGATCAGCAACAACAATCTCTGGGAAGCATAAAATGGGATGCGTAAGTTCATCCTGTGACCACTGCACTTACAGTAACCCCAGACACTGAAGACAGAAGAGAGCATGGAGGATCCCAACCGCCTCTAAAGTGTGGGTGGAGGGCCCAGAGCCACTCATGGAAACATCTTATGAAAACGATATTTAGTGCAGGGTTACAGGTATGTACTGCCATGCCAAGCTTTTACTTTTTTTTTTTCAGAGGTTCCCCTCTCCCCACTCAAAAACTCACTATGTAGGCCAAGCTGGCCTAGAACTTAAAATTCTTTGGTCTCAGCTGCCCCCAAGCACTGGGATTATATGCTGCTACACCAACTTTTAAAGACATGAATTTTAAAATACTTATTAAATAGTTAGCTATAAAATGTATGTGTTCCCACCACTTGGACAAAAATCATTACACCTTGATTTTCAGCCAGGTGGGGTAGTGTACACCCGTTACCCCAGCAGGAGGCCGAGATAGAAGGACTGAATCTGGGGCTAGCCTAGGCTACACAACAAGTTCCGGGCTATCTAAAGCTTAATAGCAAATCCTTTCTTACTCTCTTTTCAGGAATGATAGTGGGTAACAGTGTTTTTATCTCCTTATTTAAAGAGAAAAACTGACAATGTTTTTGTAAGTGTAAAGTTTTCTTTGAAAACCCTTCGGCCTGAGAGCCGCAGGGAGGTACGCACCCTGTTTGGAGGCTGCGCTGTTCAGACCCACATCCAAAGCAAACCACGCCTCCTGCTGGTTGGCGCATCCAATCAGCACCGAATCTTCTATTCTTTGGGAATCCTGTCCAAACTTACCCAGCAGCCCTTCCAACTCTGAGTAACAAAAGAGAAGAGGGAGAGAAAAAGAGACACAGTTTTAGTCACATGATCACGGCCATGTGAGGCCCACAGGAAGTACTTCTGCTTAGAGTACATAGTTGCTACCTCACAATCGGCTGGGGTCTGTTACAGAATACCTCTTACACACCAAAATGTGTGCGTGCTCAACTCTCATATAAAATAAGGCAGTGTTTGCTAATAACTTTAAATAGCTCTTGGTTGCTTAAGATATCAAATAACAATGCAACCACTTACATAATTGCTTTACTCTGTTGTTTAGGGAATAAGGAAAAGAAGGAACACCTGACCGTGTTTAGTTTATCATAGATTTTATTTTATTAGTTGCAGAATTTTTTTTCCTGCTACTGGGATTGAATCTAGGAACCTTATTGTGTGTAGGCTCCTGTGTTTGGTCCCTAGTTGCTGGAACTGTTTTGGGAGAATTAGGAGATGTTGGAGGTGTCACTGAAGGGCAGGGTGTGCAGTAGAGCTTTGAGGTTGTAAAAGCCCATGCTGTTTCCAGGGTGTTCAAGGTGCAAGCGCCCAGCTACTCCTCCAGTCCATGCCTCCCTGCCATGCACATGCTCTCGTCCCTCAAACAGCAAGCCTGAAACACACTCTTTCTCTGCAAATCGCCTTGGTGGTGGTGCTTTGCTTTTTGTTTTTTTGACACAGGGTTTCTCTGCATTGTTTTAGAGCCTGTCCTGGAACTCACTCTGTAGACCAGGCTGGCCTCGAACTCACAGAGATTCCCCCTGCCTCTGCCTCCCGAGTGCTGGGATTAAAGGCGTGTGCCACCAGCCACCAATGCCTGACAGTTGTGGTGTTTTTATCACAGCAACAGAAATGTCACTAAGACTCTCATGTATGTTGGTCACGAATTCTACCATTGAGTCACATCCCCTGCACTCAGAATTTTAAAAAATATGCTCAATCCACACTTGAATCCCCAAACCAAAATTCCCAAACCCAGAGGTGTACATATCTAGTTGCATGTAGTAAAAGGGGTCTCAAAATAAATTTTATTCGATTTTGACCTAATCAACATCAAGTTAGGATGCAAATACTTTTAAAATTTATTTATTTTATGTGCATTGGTGTTTTCCTGTAGGTATGTCTGTGTGAGGGTCTCAGATCTTGGAGTTACAGACAGTTGTTAGCTGCCATGTGGGTGCTGCGATTTGAACCCAGGTCCTTTGGGAGAGCAGTCACCCCTCACCACTGAGCCATCTTTCTAGCCCCTAGGATGTAAATCTTAAACTATGTAAACCGCAGTTCTCTGAGTCTAGAGAGCATGAGCCTAAGGCAAAGGTAGATAACCTTCTCTGTAAAGAGATAAATATTTTATAGTTTATAACACAGTCTACTGTGACTACTCAATTGCCATTGTAGCATAAAAACAACAGGCCACAGTATGTCAAAAAAGAGTGTGGCCATGTTACAATTTCATTTACGAAATGGGCAGTGGCCCATTCCATCTGAACAGCAGCTACATGGACCTCTGTTTAAGGCATTCATGCCTCTTACCACCACCAAGAATAACTAGGAATTCAAGTTCATACAATGAGTTATTAATTAGTAGAAACAGTTATATAAGCTTGTGATGGGGGATATCCTTCTGTATTCTGTGAATATATGTTTCTCTTATTGGTTGATGAATAAAGCTGTTTCAGCCAATGGACAGGCAGGAAATCCAAACAGGTATAGAGAAAGATAGAAGGCAGAGTCAAAGAGATACCCAGGCATCTCTGGTAAGCCAAGACCATGTGGAGAGCCACAGATCAATAGAAATGGGTTAATAATTAAGAGAGAGCTAGCCAATAAGAAGCCCAAGCCTTCAGTCAAACAGTTTATAATTAATATAAGCCTCAGTGTGTTTATTTGGACTAACACGCCTGTGGGACTGAGCAGGACAGAAACGTCTGTCCCAAAGCTTGAGTTTCAAGAGCTATATGAAAAATCTGAACTCATTTAAAACGCAAGGATAGTTTTTGGAACTTCAGTGTGCCCTGAATTTCACCTAGAGGTGAAAGTTTAGTTTCCCACTGGTGCGCTTTGACCTCACCTGCTCGGCTAAGCCGGGGGACCAGGTATCGGTGTCCTGATGCCTGTAGCAAAGGAGCCAGATCATGAAAGAGGTAAAACACTCCGGTCTGCTGAGCTTTCCTGCAGGCCTCATCATCTTCCTTCAACTCAAATAAATACCTGAATTTGGGAAACAAGCCATTGAAAAACCATACTTAGGCCCATGAGATGACCAAGCCTGACTTCAACTTCCAGAACCCACATGGTGGAAGGAGAGACAACTTCAAGTTAGCCTGACCTCCACATACATGCCGTGACATATACAGATACAGCCCAAGTAAGATAAACAAGTAAACCTAAATAAACCATGCTTGGTTGTCTGTCTTGTGGGGATCACAGACCCTGGCCGGAAACCCACCCCTCCATCAGCCTGGGAGCAGGCAGCTGTGAGATAATGTTTACTGAAAACAATTCAGTGCTATAAAGCTCTTGATAGGGCTTAGATAAGGGCTCGCTCACTGAAATACCATGGCTTTGATCCCCTCTAAGGCTAGATGCTTCTTCCTGCTCCCTGCGGTTTCTCCCTGATTCTGGGGCCGGGGATTAAACCACCAGCCAGGAGGGTGAGAAGTCTGGGAGAGCTGTGAGAGGTGTGTGAGAGCTCGGTTGGAGAATTGTGTGTGTATGGATTGCAGAAGTCCTTAAAAAGGGAAGCGTTTTTTCTTGAGGAGTTCTCCTAAGCCGACTTGGGGAGCATAAAGTTTTCTTAAAGCAGCCGACCGGTCTCTGTGTCATCTATCCCGACCACCTCGCTACATTCTCGGATGCAGGCTGCTCAGCAGGTGCGACACTGTCTGTCATTCATTTGGGGGAAATCTTAACTCTCCTGCACTGCATGTATGTATGTTTGTTTGTATGTATGTATGTATGTTTGTATTGCACTACTGGAGCCTGAACCCAGGGACGTGGACATGCTAGGCAAGTTCTCCGACACTGAGCTATATGATCAATTCTCTTCTCACCTTTTATGACTAAGTTGCCCTGGTTGGTTTTGAACTCACTCTGCAGTCCATCCAGCAAAGTCTTGAATATAAGCCTCCTGCCTTAGCCTCTAGAGTAGCTGCGATTACTGGTCTGTGCCATCACGCCACGCTCCAATCATTTATTTTCACCCCAGTTTGCTCTGAAGTCGAGGTGGCTACAAGCAACTGTGCACTCTGGTCTTCACCCGGCGGCCACCACCCGTCCCTGCGTCCCCCTGCTCCTCCTGTTGACTGTCCACCTCTCCAGAAAGACTGGTGTCTTTAAGACAGGGTCTCCCATTCTTGGCTTTGCATCGTAGTTTAGCATATGCAATGGCTTAGTTCAACCAGTGTTTATTGACTTGAACTTCAAGGGCAATAAATACTGAGTTAACTCTTAAGGGACTTTGCTAGTGTTACACAGTGAGGCAAGAATTGCAGGCAGGCGACTGAAAGGAAAAGGTCTATGGTAAAAATGTCAGCACAGAAGACCCACAGACGGGAGCAGGCTGTACTCTGACGCCAGCAAACATTGCGCCTTTAGGAATTCTCATTCAATCTGGGGAAGACGGGGCACACATGTGATGATCAGTTGCACACTGTTTCAGACATGAATTCCTTTGGCTCCTGAAGTGTACCAGAGGGACCACTGGTAAAGCCCGCTTTGACCTACTGACATATTCATAATGATAATATTTTCAGTAGCCAAGAAAAAGAAATGTAGATTAAGAAAATTGACTGGACTGGGCATAGAGTTGGAGCACACCTTTAATCCCAGCACTCAGGAGGCAGAGGTGGTGCATTCTGTGAGTTCCAGGGCAATGAGCGCTATGTAGAAAGACCCTGTCTCAAAAAAAAAAAAAAAAAAAAAAAGATTCAGTGAGAGATGGTTCAGAGGTTAGGAGTCCTGGCTGCTCTTCCAGAGGTCCTGAGTTCAATTCCCAGTAATCACATGGTAGCTCACAACTGTCTACAATGAAATCTGGGATCTGGTGTCCTCTTCTGCCCTGCAGGCATACATGCAGGCAGAACACTGTATTCATAAAAAAATAAAATAAAAATCTTAAAAGACTTAGTGGTGACTAAATGAGCATGCTCTTGGGGCTTAATCATTAACTAGCTTTGTCTGTTAAAACCCTAAAACCAAACTAGGGGAGTATCTCAGTGTTAGGGTGCTTGTCTGGCATGTGAAAGGCCCTGGGTTTGATCCACATACAGAATGACCAAAAAGTCAAGCCCTAAAACAAACTCTCAATTATATGCCCTATCTTGAGTGTAAGCGGGAAATGTCTTGCAGGTGTCTCCTGTAAGATACAGGGCATGTAAAAGCAGAGTTGGCACCGCTTGAAAACACACAACAGAACAGACACCACAGTAGCTGTGTTAGGAGCCTCATCCTCTGGTAAAGGGAGTTACAAAGCTCTTTAGAAACGGAGACAAAAGAAACCTGAACTTTTAAGACTTGTGATGCTTCTAAACTTATTTTGGGAGACTGTACCCTCCAGGGTAAAGAGTACACGTCAGTCAAAGGAGAGACAAGGGCCACTGCAGAGTTACCAAATACAAACAACAGAAACTGCTGCCTTCAGAGACAGTGGGACAAAGAGAGTGGGGTGGCCTTTGCTGTGCCCCAATGAGCCTTAAAAGCAAAACCCTGATGTGGAGGTTTTCAGCCAAAGTCCTCAACAGACCTGGAGAGGCCCACAGTTTGGACACTCTTCTCAGTAAAGAACTCAGCTTCTCCCTTTCGTTATAACACCATGGACCATTATACTGGCTGCCAAGGCTGAAATTAGATATTTTAAACTTTATCTGATTTTTTTTTCTGAGACAGGGTTTCTCTGTGTAACAGTCCTAGCTGTCCTGAAACTCACTATGTAGACCAGGCTGACCTCGAACTCACAGAGATCCTCTGGTCTCTGCCTCCTGAGTGCTGGGATCACAGGTGTGCGCCATCACCACCCTGCTGATTTTTCTTAAAAGAATAAGAAAAAAATAACCATTCTTGAAAAATACAAAAATACTACAATTTTACACACACACACACACACACACACACACACACACACACACACACACACTTTGGTTTTTACAGACAGGGTTTTTTTGTGTATACTTGACTGTTTCAGACTAGCTCTATAGACCAGGCTGGCCTCAAACTCACAGAGATCCACCTGTGTCTGCCTCCTGATTGTTGGCATTAAAAGCATGGGCTCCCACCACCCAGCTAATTATAATTTATTTTTATTTTATGTTTTACCTGCACGCATGTCTGTGGGGGCGCGTCAGAAGCTCTGGAACTAGAGTCACAGACAGTTGTGAGTTGCCATGTGGGTGCTGGGAATTGAACCTGGGTCCTTTGGAAGAACAGTCAGTGCTCTTAACTGCTGAGCCATCTCCCCAGCCCCAATTAATTTTTATCCAAAAACAAAAAAAAAATCAATTATCCCACTAATCAGAGAATAATCCTGTTCAGAATTTTGGAATTATCTAAATAGTATTGTGTATTAATACATTGAAAGGAATATAGGCATACACAGAATAATAGAACCATCATAACTACTCATTTGTTGCCTTTGTTTGTTTGTTTTACATTTCAAGACAAGATTTTTCCATGTAGCCCTGGCTATCCCTGGAACTCCATCTGTAGACCAGGCTGGCCTAGAGAGATCCGCCTGCCTCTGCCTCCCAAGCGGTAGGATTAAAGGCGTGCACCGCTGTTGCCGGGCTATTTGTGGTCTTTTGTTGTTACTATTTCTTTAAAGATTTATCTCTTTTTGCTTATGTGAATGTGTGTTTTGCTTGCATGTGTGTGTGTGTGCCTGGTGCCTCTGGGTCTCCAGAAGAGGGTGTGTAGAGTCCCTTGAAACTGGAGTTAAAGATTGTTGTGAGTTGCAGATGCTGGGAACCAAACCTGGGCTTTCTGCAGGAGCAGCAGGTGCTCTTAACTGATGAGCCTTTGCTCCAGCCTTTTCTGTTTTCTTTTTTTCCTTCTCCCTTTGCTACCTTCCACTGAAGCATAGCTCTTTTGAGAGAAGGAGGGTCTTGGAGTCATCCTTGCTATTTCAGGAAACAAAGATATACTAGTCAATATAGTTTAAGCATGTTTATTAAAAATCACACCAAACAGGTCGCTTTGACGTCTTCCTCCCTGTGCATTCATCTAACAATACTTCAGTGCCTGTTATGTGGGAAGCACTGTTTCAGGCAACGAGACACCACAGAGGAAAGTCAGTGTCTTAGCTGGGTGTGGTAATACACACAGGCAGCCCCTGCTCTCAGGAGACTGGAGGAAAAGAAGTGGTCAGAGCCATCCTGGACTATATAGTAAGATGCTGCCTCAAAAAGCCAATATGACCCAGCCAATAAAGTGCTTGCTATGCCAACATGAAAACCCGAGTTTGGATCTGTAACACACTAAAAACCTGGGCAGGGTTCTATAACCCCAGAGCCAGGGAAGGAGAGACAAGAGGATCGCTAGGGCTTGGTTAGTCAATCAATAATCTCTAGGTTCAGTGAGAGACCCCATTTCAAAAAATAAGATGTAGGACTAAGATGGCTCTGTAGTTAAGAACACTGGCTGCTCTTCAAAGGACCCGAGTTCAGTCCAAGGCACCCACGTGGTGGCCAACAACCATCTAGACACTTTCTTCTGGCTTCTGTGGACACCGCACACTCATGGTATACAAACATATACATGTCAAATTCCCATATACATAAAACCTAAAAAAAATAGTAAAGTGGAGAAGTGATTGAGGAAGACATCTGGTCGACCTCTGCCTCTGTATGCATATGCACACCCATGTGTGTTCACCCTTCTCCATATGTGTAACCAGAAATATGTACACACATGAAAAAAATACAGCTAGGCCCTGTCTCCAAACAAAACAGTAACAACAATAAACAGACAAAGTCCTTTTCTCCTCCTCCTCCTTTTCTTCTCCTCCTTTTCCTCTTGTTATTGAGAGAGAGAGTTTCATGTAATGTGGGTTGCCCTCAAATTTTCTGTGTGGATGAGGAGGATCTTGAATTCCTTCTGCCTCCACCATCTACAAGCTGGGATTTCAGGTGTGCATCACCTCTTGGCCAAAAGGACAATGTCTTATTTGAGGAGAACTTACAGTCAAGAATATTTTCAACGTTGGAAATTTATTATTA